ACAATTAAGATTTTTTTTTTTTTTTTTTTTTTTAATTTTTTGAATTTTCATTTATACCTAGATTGTACACAGAGATATTTTTTAATAAATAACCGTACTGTTTATCAAGTTACGATCGTTTTGCTCCTTGTACTTTAGTGAAAATATCGCTTTATTGTCATTACCCAATCAAGGGTTCATTTGAGTACTTCTCTCGCCAGGTGACAATTAAACAATAACTGTGTCGCTAAAAAAATTGTAAATTGTGCATGCGAAAGCTTGAAACGTGTAAAACAATATTGTCGCTCGGCGAGACTCATATCACTCATACCTTCCTAATCAATAATAGTGTAAAACGAAATATTTTATGTTGTAAACTAGAGATTATTAGATTTTATTGTGTACATCATCGATATGCAAAACATGAGGTAATATACATAATTATTATATATACATGTATACTAGCATGTATATGAATAAATGTAGATATATATTTTAACGCCTCCTTGTTACCGCAGGCGCGACAGGCGCGGATGTATGGCTTTTTTATTCAAAGCGATTGTTGAATCTCATGTAATATAAGGGAAGCGATGAAGATAAAAATTAAAGATGAAAAGAACAAAAATCATAAGAGTAAAAGTAATGAAGAAATAAAAGCGAATAAATTACACAGCTTCGTGAGGACAATTTTCTTTTGTATTTGAGTGGTAAAAAATACCGTGCGATACACGACAACGGGTCGTATGGAGAAGAAAAACATGCTCCGAAGAACTGGCAAGCCATACTCGATGTGTTTTTTGCCTTTTTAACATGACTATGGATTAATTATTAAGTTATTATTATTATAACGTTGTAAAATAGTATATCTTTCCTTGTCATTATTTCCAAAGAAACGCTATTTTTTTCTTTTATTAACGCAATTTGTCCATGTTTTAGTTATAAAATGAGACTCTACTAACAAAGTTTCTCGTCTTTTTCTACGTGATCTTTTTTTTGTGTAGATAATAGAAAAGTTAGAGTCGAGAATATATGTAAATAACAGTTCAGTTCGCGGTTGAGATAAAAAGAAGATGATAAAAGAAGCGTCTACCTTCGGCGATCTTTAAATTATTCATTACCAATATAGTATGTATTTAGAAAAATAAAGTAAAATTAATACTAAAATTTTAATGCTGCGAAAGACTTGTTAAAATGTAACTGTATAGAGCGTACACAGAGCTACCGTACAAAGGATAATCATGAGAGACATGTGTTTAATTGAGTTTTTGAAAGTACATGACAAATATTGCTTGCGATGCTACCTTTTGTAATAAAAAAAATATATATATATATTAAAAAAATATTAACTTTTCTTTCGAGCTGTACTCACAGAGTTCTATGAAAAAAAGGTTAAAAACGATTGAAAATT